TGTCACCACATTGGCTGACACTCAGCTTTTGCCTGTGTCCTGTCCTTATTACCAATGGATCCTCTGAGTTGTGAGAACAGATGTCCCGCCCTGCTCTACCTGATGTCCCTTCAGGCCACCAGCTGCATCCCTGGTGGCCTTAGAAATCTAGACCACAGCTTCTGGGTTTTCCCAGTAGGGTGGGTGGTGGGCTGGGCCTGATGTTAGACTTCCCCAGCAAAGGATATGGTGTGCTTGCTTGCCCACATTTTCATAACAAACAGAGCTTATAAAGGCCAGGTTCAGCCCAGTGCTGTGGCCAGCCAAAGGCTGCTGGGGAATGCCTTCTACCCCAGCCCAGCTAATTTGTGTCCTGTCCTGAACACACAGCTCACCGAGCATTGCCAGGTCTGGCCGTCTTTGAAAGAAGACTTTCTTTCCATTTGGCAAAATGTCTCTTGAAAGACACTTCATTCTTTTTATTGGATGGCCAATATTTTTACAAGTAACACATTCACTTTCTAAAGAAACCCCCCACCCTCTCTTTCTGGCACCTACTTCCCTCCAGGAGAATTTCTCTTATCTGCCCCAATCCCACTAGGGGGCTCTGGTATTAACTCTTATAAGGTCAGACTGAATTCTCTAGAGGAGCCTGGTGTTTTAAGATTTGACTCGAGATCAGAAACAAAGTGCTGAAGCAAAACCATCAGGGCCACAGCATGGAAAGCTGCAAGCTTCCAAACTGCCGCATATGTGCCGCCAGCCAGCCGGCGCCTCAGCGGCCTGGCTTGGCAGCCTCTTACTCAACCTCTGTTTTCCTTGGGGGTAGGAGGAGGAGGTGGAGGGAACCAGGAAGGAGGAGGGTAGCACTGAGGGATGTAGTTGCCCTTTGCCTCATGATTTATACTTGGTCAGAGTAGCCCTGTTCCGCTTGCTTCAGGCTGGAATGTGTCTTGGACATGTTGTTTCAATATGAGACAATCAGCTGGGCCCTCTGTGGAATGTCCCTGGAGACTCAAAACGACCTCCCAACAGGGTCATTTGTTCAGCAGAATTTGAAGCCACATTCTCCAACATCTGCATTCTATTAATACCTTCAGAATAATTCTTTCGGCCTTGGGAAATCGGAGGATGTTTTGAGGGACGCTCGGCACCAAGTCCTTTTGATTTTGCTGCCTCCTGGGAAGATCTCATCCCCTTCCTTTGCTGTGGTGCAGGTGGATATTCACTTTCCCTGAGTGAAGGCCTGGATGGGCAACATGTATGGCGGACTTCTGTTAAGGTACAAGACAGAGATGAACCAGGAGAACTGGCAGACATTCCTGGGCATTTGCTGGAAGCCAGTGGGGCTAAGAGCCCTCTAAAGACCTCTTTCCAAGTCCTTGAGGGAGCCTGGCCAGAGCCTCATCACATCCTCCCAGGAGACAAGGGTCTTAAAGGAAAGGAAGACAAAGAAGGGAGGAAGGAGGAAAGGGTTTCAAGACAGTGCAATAAAGTACTGACAGTACAATAAAGCCAGATTTTTTTTTAAAGTTCAAATACATGTACTAGCTAGACGGAATAGAACTGCAGCTCATAGCAGTAAGACCTACTTAGTGAGGACAAATATGACTTGAATGTGCAGGTGTGACCTCGCCAGAAGGCTGGCCCTGAGTCCTGGGCCTCCTCAGGAGACATTGGGGGCATATTGAGTGTGGAGGGCAGGGAAGGTGGGGAAAGTAGGGAGAGAGAACCTCTGATCTAAGAAGGTATGTTTAATCCAGAAACATTTATTGAGTGCCTTCCGGTTGCACACATGGAGCCATATGCTCACTCAACTGCTTTAAAGGGAGGAGAAACAGGAGAAGACAATGTTGAGGACATCATTTCTGAGCTCTACTCTTCCCTTGAAGGGGACATGGAAGGAGCAGGTGCTGAGGAACACCAGGCAGAGTCTAGTTTGTTTGCCAGTTTTCATTACCCAAACCTGTGTCACGGCATGCTCATTCAACAGCCGCAGAGACTGAAACATTAAGTTCTCTCAAACCCACTGGAGACACATACTTCTGATATGCCTCTAAAAATGAGAAATAGCTTCCTGGGTGTGTGACTCACAAAGAGCTCTCTCTGATGGCCAGAGCTGGCTTAGGGTGTCTGAAAGCACTGACTGGGCAGAAAGGAGCAGCTGCCTAACACATCTGATACTATTTCCTTTGTCATCGGTTCATCTGTCTGCTCATGGGAAGAGATCTGTCAAATACAACTGGCTTCCTCCCTGGGATCTGCACATCCACCCTCAACCTGCTGGGCCTGTGGCCAGGCCTCACATCCCTTTGCCTACTATCACAAGGGGCTTGAGAACAAGTGTTCAAGAGAACAGCCAGATAGGTTGTGGTTCCCATCTCCTTTCCCATGTCCAAATTATACAAATTATGAAAAACAAACCAGTGAACAAATAAAATAATTAGGCTGTGAGTTCCCTGTGTCCCTCTTTTGTCAGCATTTGGAGAGGCAAACTCACATTTCCGGCAAATGACAGACCAAGCACATGTCATTCCATTTGGTTCTCACTTAGGCCCATTTTACTGATGGGAAACTCATCTTGTCTCAAAAAGACTAGTTCTGCTTGCCCAAGTCAGCTGGTCAAAGTGGGATGGGTATTCTATAACGCCTACATTTTCCCAAAGCACTGACTGTAGAAGGAACATAATTGAAAATACCGGTTTGGACGGTTCTCTGTGGGGGTGGGGTGGGCTTTCCTCCTGAACGGAAATCGGCCGTTTTTCAGGGACTTTTTCCTGCTTCCTGATTTCTGCTTTGTTCCAGCAGCACATGGTTTTTGGGGATGCTGCCCTGATGTGTATGGTCCTCTAGGCCCTGCCTACACAAGTGTCAGAAAGTGCTGGGGCAGAAGGCTCTGACTCATCTGCTTCTCCCTGAACAACATTCGTGTGTGTGTGTGTGTGTGTATGTGTGTGTGTGTGTGTGTGTGTGTGTGTGTGTGTGTCTTAAATGTGAGCACTCTGGCTCACAGCTCTGAGCTACCATGTACAGAAAAATGATTACAAACCCTTCTTGCATTCTTAAGGCATCTGTGAAATAATTTTCTTTCCCTGGCCCACTTAGCAGCACTGGTTTTGTTCCACACTTGTGGACACTGTAGGGCGGGCTCCTGCGTCCCAGCCTGTCTAGTATGGCAGCCAGCCTGCACAGATCTATTAATAGCCTTCATTTCCAGTATGTGCCCTGTAAACTCGGGCCTCATTTTTAGCAGCTTGCTGTTACAATTCTAGGAAAAGGTTCCCTTTGAATGTCTTCCTGCCAGGATAGCCTGACTCCCTCTCTCAGTCAGCTGCCCCCCCCCCCCCAGGGCTGGTGGGGGCGTGGAGCCCAGGGATAAGTGGTGGGAGATCCTTCTCTTGGAAGAGTTGCTGAACGAAATGACCCTTTGTTTGGAAAGCAGCCCTGATAAGCTTGGGTGGGGCTGCAGCTGCCCAGCACTGAAGTCATGCTTGACTCATCTCTTCCTTTCACAGCTCTCATCTAGTTCATCACACATTTAGTTTGCTTCCCCCAAAAGGATATTCCCAAAGACCAGGCCCAAGTCCATCTGCATCCAGCCTGTGTGGAAGGCCCCTGTCTCTTGTGCCCTTTTTTGAGTTCACCCCATTTCATCCCTTGAGAACTCACTGAAGGCTCTTAAAGCCTGCCAGTGCTCAACTTGGCAGAGTCAGTGACTCGTCTCTAAGCAACTATCCAATGTAAATTGTCCCCTTAAAGACAATCTTAAGTAAAATAACAGTCCTAGCATGGATGATCCCTGTGCCTCTTGATAGGGTGTGAATATGGCAGGTGTATCCTCAAGACAGTGTGTTTAAGGTTTGGTCCCAGCCTGGTTGTATTGGGAGGTACTTGGAGGTGGGGTCTAATGTGAGTCCCATAGGCCCCTAGAGTGCACCCTTGAAGGTATTGTGGGACCTTGGCTTCTGTCTCTTTCTGTGGTCTGACCTGTGATGCGCATCCAAGCTTGGTCATGCAGGGCTGCTGACTATAGAACTGATGCTAAACCATCCTGCCTTCCCTTCCTAAGGAATTTGTTAAAACACTGTGAGGCTGAGCTAACACCTCTCTTAGCTTTTCACTACTTTTCTTCTTTTAATTTGGGGGTTATAATATAATTGCATCATTTTTCTCTTCCCTTTCTTTCCTCCAGAGCCTCTCATATGGTCTCTTCTTTTTAAATTTTCTTTCTTTCTAAAGCTTTTGAGATTGTAGTATAGTTATATAATTTCTCTCTTCCCTTCCCTTTCCTCCCTCCCTCCAAACCTCCCCATACTCCATTCCTTGTTCTCTATCAAATTCATAGCCTCTTTTTTCATTGACTGTTTTTCCGACT